AGTCTAGTCCGTTCGAGTGTATGGTTGAATCGATGAACTGAAGATTGTACATGAAGTTAAAGTCCGAAGAATAGTTTGTTCAAATCAGTAAAGCTACGTAAATTCATCGGCATCTAACACAATCGCATAGCAAACGTATTAGAAGAAAGGTTGTCGAGCAACGAAAATATCTTCTAGTTATTACTCCTTACTACCCTAAGTAGCAAACAAACGAGGTGGATGAAGTCTTTTTTACTGTATGCTTACTTCCGGCATGAGGAGACTTTGGCTTTTCGGACAAACTCAGAAGCCAATTATGTTATACGATTTGTGAATCAATGGGACCATAATTATCAGCATGCGATAGGGAGCGTTCAGCCCAGATCCAATTGAGTTCTGTGTTATAAACCTTTCACAAGTGATTCCACGGAACAAGTCGAATTTTTCTCGAATGTACCACTTGATACCTGACCCAGTCGCTGAGTCACGAATATTATTTGCTTGCGTTGTATGATCGGAGCTAACGTGGAAAAATACGTGTGTGAAATGGTACTCCTAAAGGTGTTTAATACTAGCGTTTTGTTCCCTCACATTTCATACACGTGTCCATAAAATGATTGCAGTGGATAACTGTGGAACACTGGAAAGACAAGGCAGCTTTGAACTGATAACATGACCTGCACACGAACATACGCACATAGACACGCAATAATCCATATTGCATAACGAGATGTTAACGTCTAAACACCTTGGACATTATCTTAAAACACATTTTCAGGACATGATGAGTCATTATTGAAACGAATTCACCATGTCACTTGGTCGGTTTTGGCGAATATGTAGACTTTCAGGGACTACGCAAGAGGATCGACCATAGTTTTACCAGGATTGGTGTGCGGTGCAGAGCAAAGATTTGCTGTGTTTGAATCACCTTATGTGAGCACATCGCTCGTTTGAAAAGAACCATACAAAGAGTAGGGCGTGATGATGATGAGGATAGAGAGAAACAGCCAAACGCCAAATGCTAAACAATCCCGTGATTCATACACACGTATCAGAATAACCTTAGAGCAGAATGAATCTCAGCAAGAATTGCAATGGAATCTTGGTCTGCCAGGTCAGCATCACGTGGCACAGAACGCAGTGGTTAGCATTAAAACACTGTACATTGTTCTTTATACTTATGAAAGACCTCGTGATTGAATGATTTAGGATTGTTCAGTAACGTAGCATTCGTTACATCGCTTGTTATTAGCATAGCGTGTGGCTACTGAGGACTGGAAGTCGGCAACAACCATGTTTCTCTAAAATGTGATGAAATTCATGCAGCCGATGCACGGTTACGTACATCGTTGATTCACATCTGCCCATAACCCCTTGGATGATGAAACAGTCTTTACTCTCCAACTCATCCTCGCTTTCCATCAGGTGATGATATCGTGTACCAGTCCTCCGCATGAGCTGGGGAAGGGGTGGTCGTAAAGCACACTAGATGTTTCTTTCTCATCCAACAAACTGATTTATCAGATGTTCGACTGGATTATAGAAAGCGCAATTGAGAGTGTCGGCATCACCTCTACACGGTACCTTGCTCACTGAGCACCGTTTACAATCCACCGCGCTTGTTTGATCTATGCATCCATTAGTGTCTGGATTGTGAGACCCAAAATGCTCGATCCGTTTGCAGCGTGACTTGAATGCCAGACAACCTTCAATTTTGTGATCGTCGCATGCTCTCAGTAGAAAAAAACTGGACACTTGAGTTATCCAACCACACATTAAACATATGTCTGGCGATCAGAAAAAACCTCATGATCATTAACGAACAGCGCAATGCGACGGAAATATCTCACACTGATGATGTGGACCCACCCGCACATCGTTCACGTCCAGACAGCCTATTTGCGAAAAAACATACAAATGCAGACACTCGAGTCGCTTTTATGTTGTTTTCCATTTCCGTAAATGTTCTGAATTGGGCATGAAGCCACTAAATACCTTCAGCATGCAAATACCACGATGGTGTGCGGAAATAATGATTTCATACATGATGAGCACACAAATTTGCAAACATGCTTGTTTTCAGTCTGCTTTATTCATGCCATTACAACACAATATATTTAACTAGTAACCGACTTGGACTTACGAAGGTACAGGGAAATTAATCAAAGTAATAAACAGTTCCTATCATAATTGCTCCTCAATTATCATTTGCTCGGATGTTTCATAACGAGTCTCTTGCCAGCGATTCGGCCGCGGGAGCTGGAGTGCTTGCATTATTCGCTGTTAAGCGTACAAATCGAGGGTTGTATAAAGGGATACGATCTGCCTCCGCTTTGGCTAGAATGCAAAACCGCACGTGTCTATAAAGTCCTGTTTTGACACTATTCAGATGTCGGAACGCTTGGTTCACGTCTAAGACTTGCTCACTGTCAACAAGGTGCGACAAGACGGCACTTGTGACTGTATTACTAACTAATCCAAATCTCAAACTCGCTGGGCGAGGCTCACGGATGCGTTCGGACAAAAGCCTGATTATGCGGCCAACTTACAGAGACTTACTTGTTGGTGATTTCAGTCATGCAAGCATGTCTCCCCTGTTTCCACTAGGTCTGTCTGATCTTTATCATTCTCCTACCAGAGGTAGTTCTGTGCTTGACAGACCGATCACAAACCACCCCAAATTATTGTCTCTCTAACTGATGGCCCCGGTTTCTGCCAGTGATCATAGTATTCTTTTTCTTAGATCAAAGGTATGCTCTCACATTGCTTATCAAGCAATCATACGTTCCGCTCAGATAACATTTCATCTGAGGGACTTTTCACCCAACCGTATTTCTCTTCTCAACCGTTCTATTGTGATTGTTCAGTCTTGGTTTAGTTCTTATCCTTCGCTGTTCGAATGTGAAACGAGTAAATCGATCTTGTGTTGTCCAATGAAAACCCTGTTTGTCTATAACGTTAGAATTACCTCGCCCTTTTTGAACTCACTGAGAAGGTACAAGGAAATGGCCTACAAACCTCGACAGGCATCAGCGGCATTGCACTGTTCTGATCTAATCAGGTCCGAGATAATGAACCTAAATGCAATTTGGCCACCTAAATTCTGTTAACAAAGAACACTAGGCAAGGTATTCTCCTCATTTGTGGGCAGAAGAGAAAACATTCCAATACCTCTGTGAATGTCAAAAGCCTTGACGCCGCTTTCATCCACCCGTCGAATAAGAGCCAGATTCCCTCATTCCCATGCAATGCATCCAGTTCATTGCCCTTTTCCAATGATTTAATATTCAAGCTTCTTCGATCCTGCAAAGCATCTCCAACTGCATGATCTGATGGTCTTTCTACTGCACTTCTGAAATTTGGAGCTGCGGCTATAACCAATAGGATGACGTGCATCGTGAATGAGTCCCAGTCTTTCGGTCGATTCCCGATTCTTGACGTCCAGTTACCATTACTCCGATCCCCAAATTCACGTTTCACTTGTTCAGGTGAAATGGTTTCGTCGTATCGCGCTGACCTCAGCGGCTCTACCCTTAACGGAAAAAGTCAATCTGAGTCGGTTGCAGTCAAACACCACGATTCCTCACGACCGAGTTCAGTTTTTATATAAGCCAAACAGGTCTAGATTGGACGGCGTCCCTACTCTAATACATTTTATCAGCGTGTCCTTGAAGAATTCGGCCAAGCCTGTCCGGTTTACTTTGCTTTTGACTATTCGTCCGCGTTTGATTCTGTTTCCCGATCTTCCCTTCCTTCGAACTTCAATTTTTTTTTTCAATCCGAGATAGCTGCACTTATGGTTTCCAAACGACTTCCAGATAGGGCCTGGTGTACCAAATTGCGAATGAGGGCATCTATATATCTTGTTGATAATTGTGGTGTCAAAATTATTCCCGTTTCAATAATCATGAAAACTTGAAATAGCAAACAAGCTCGTTTTCGGTGCTACCTCAACTGGCCAAATACAGCACAATTTATAACAGATTAAAACAGGTGGGGAGAGGGACAAATATCTGTGAAGGAAATCAGAGGTTAAGGAGAGAAAGATGGATATGTGATAATTGCTGTTTGTGAGTGTGTATGTCTGTGTGTGTGCGTGGAAAGTGAGAGTGCTTGTGAATATGTAGGTAGGTGAATGAGTGGTTGATCATAAACAGAGGTTACGTCACCAGATTGCTAGTGGATGGCCATGGTAAGATCAGTGTTCTTACAAATTGTTTCTGGGCGCACAAGGGGGGTTGTGGAGACGGATGGCAATCGCCTCTGCAGTTGACAAAATTCTGAACTTGACCTCTTTGGATAACCTACCCTTGACGGATATAAGAAAGAGGACACTCGTAAGCGCTCACCCAGTTACTGCATTGAGAATGTCACCTCCATTGGTGATGAAACGTTTGCAATACAATTGCCAAGCTCGGCGAACAACTGAACATCATGACGGAAAGCCTCAAGCACATTGACTGTGTGATTCGACTCAGTCAAATGGTTCGCAATTGCCGTCGCCCCGGTCCTTGTCAATCCCTGGTTCAACCAAACGGGGTGATGCTCCTTGATGCGATCAGATAGACGCCTCACCGTTCGACCCACATAACTTGCTCCACAGGAACAGATGAATTGATAAACACAAAATGAGGTCGTATCCGGGGTAATCTATCTTTAGTTTGCATAAAGAGGACCGATTTGGACGTGAATATAATGCAGGGTTCAGCCGCAAAGTAGATGAATTTGATGGAAGATTGAATTCGTCTACTCAATACTTTCGCCATCCTTTCTCTCCTGAATGAGATGGAGAAATAGACACGCTTCTTATTTGCTGTGTCACATAATGTCTTGGAAAGATATGATGTCATGCTTTTATGAATGAATGACTCAGGATATCCATTCTCTAGAAAAACTTTTCGTATTCTTCCCAGCTCAAAATCAACGGAGTCTGAAGAATAAAGTTTCTTAACTCTATTTGTTAAGCAGCGAATCAAATTTCTCTTCTGTTGCAATGGGACGAAGCTGTGGTAGTGTGTTTACTGTCCCGTCCATGTTTTTTTATGGTGGATGCTTGTAAGAATGGAGCCATCTGATCGTCGAGACAATAATACGTCCAGAAATGCGAGACCATTGGTGGATTCCTTTTCCAGTGTGAACTCTATTTTCGGATGAGCTCCATTGAATTTCTTCAACAGAATATCAGCATCCTTGTCAGCATCGTATACACATATGATGTCATCCACATATCGTTTGTAGAAGGGGAATTCTTTTATGGGTTTTGAGAGTACTCCGTTTTCTAATTTGGCCATGAAAATGTCTGCCGATAGTGGTCCCAATGGCAAACCCATGGCTATTCTGTCTTTCTCTCTATGAATCGCACCAATACACCGGAATTCTATATTATATGTCCATAGATAAAGATGCATCTTAAGCTCAGCTATGGGTGGTCCAACATAAATTCCCAGATTGTCTATATAATGAGCGATGATTTCAATGGTCTCTTGGAGTGGCACATTGATAAATAATGAGGTGAAATCCAGCGAGAACATCTGTTTATTGGTTAAGTTGATTGATGCAAAGTGATTGACAAAATCAAAAGTCTCGTAGACTGAACTTGGCGATGTCTCTTCTGACTGGTTCGAGGAGATCGGCTAACCACTTTACAGACGGAAAGACAGAATAGCCATGGGTTTGCCATTGGGACCACTATTGGCAGACATTGGTCGGTCTGTCAAGCACAGAAATACCTCTGGTAGGAGAATGATAAAGATCAGACAGACCTAGTGGAAACAGGGGAGACATGCTTGCATGACTGAAATCACCAACAAGTAAGTGAAGATTTTCATCTAATAATGAAACTAGAAACGGGATATGGGAATCAAAGAAAGCAGAAATTTTGGTCCAGGGACACGAGAGAGATATATACACATTGGTGATGATTGTACTTTTGTGACGAGAAAATGGAGAGTGACAACGAACAGATAAACAGTCAATGCATTTTCAGGATAGGTATATAAAACTTCTGTCTTGCCACATCAGGAATCGTTGATGTAAGTAGCCACACCGCCTCCGGTTTTTTCCTACTTCGCTGTCTATCCTGCCGAAAGTAATCAAAGCCTTCTATTCGCACGAGCACATCCTCAATATTTGATTCAACCAGGTTTCTTGTACACAAGCAACACATGTGTTAGAATTTATGCGTGTTCAGAATGGGGGTTAAGTCCAAGGACTTTGCGAATAGCGAGCGAACGTTAGTGCGGACTAATGATGGCACAGTCGTCTTGGCAGAAGGGGTGCAAGTAAGTGCAGTCTGGCATCCGACCCGTTTGCGTTTTTTGATCCAAGGACTTTTATGACTCTCACCTAGAAAAAAAGTAGCGGGTAGCACAGAATTCACAGATTTTAATCGTGCCATGTCCTGAAGAAGATATTTATAGATCTTGGACATGATTTGCACGGATATATGGATGAGGCAAAACGATAAATTCCAATGTGACGAACAAGCACGAGAGTGTAGCGCAGCCAATCGAGGGGCGCGCGAGTCATGACAAAGACAACTGTACTGTAGAATATATCCTGGTGTGAAACTTCGCCTACTGTGGATCACACGGCTTTTCCTTGAGCAGCGATGAATGACTGATGAATGCTTCTAACATTTACTATTCATTTTTGCGAAATAAAATATGATGTTTGAACCATTGAATTTGTATTATTTTCAGAAGGCGAAGCAGATAAGTCATAAATCGGTATTTGGAAAATCTGTTCTGTTTTATAATATACTACCAGCTACTACGGACAATGATGAAAATATTTCAACTCATGTTCAAATAAACGAGCTTGGTCTAACTCAAACTTGTGCTTATCGGGTACAAGAATGGTAACTGTGAATACGTTTTGATTCAATTGAATGCCCATGTTCTTTTTACTGTTACTATTCCAAAACAAACAGCTTTTTATGGCTCCTATTCTAGTGAATTTGTCTCATTATCTGCCATTCAATTAATTAATTAATTAATCCAATTAGTTAATATTGAGTTTTTCAGGATTATTTTCAGCTGTACGCCTATCGATAAGGGATTATAACGGATCAATGAATTCATCAGTTTTCGCTTTACGTTCTCTCCGGATTGACGCCAATGGAACCCTTTAACAGATTCATCATTGATTATGGACAAATTACTTTTGTTTATATTTATTTGATGCAAACCCTAAAGAGTACAGTTAGTATTCAAAATTTGTCTTTGTGTACTAACCGTAGCTGAATACCTTGGTTTCCAGATTATTACCGATGTGATGAAATCAAGCAAGACTACGTGAATGAACTATACAGAGATGGAATTCCTCCGTTTAATGTGAGTTCGTTTGTTTTGTAATAAACGTAAATTTTTTCGTGTCTCCTCTATGCAGAATGGTGGAAAACTGTTTCAGTTGTTCTGTCCTGAATCGGCCCGGTTCGAGAAAGATGTTCACAGTTGAAGCGATCGATTTTCGCTTTAGCGGAGAGATACGATTAAATTTTTCGCATGTCGCCCGAAAGCATAGACCTACCGTGTTTAGCTAGGACAAATGCGCGTTGTCACCATATTTTTTAGTCCTTTTTTCCACATTGGACAGTCGTGGCGGGTTGTTCATGACCAGCAAAAGATAAACAAATGTTTAACCATCCTCACCAGATGCAGAAACTACTCAGGAGAGATCATGTGCATTATCTTTTCAGTTACGATCATGAATTGATATTTGAAGCAAATTCATGGAATATACAGAGTGGTGTGTTTTTGATCTACCGAATAACCTGCTATGTTAGTTATTTGTTGTTTCGTGTTTCATTCATATGGATACATTTATGGAGTAAAAAAAGATAGAATTTTCAGGCAGGTGGTAGCGGCCAATCAAAGGGCTACCGTGCAGTATACAATAAAGCAATCTTTTGAAAATTGGTATATTTTATTGGTTAACCAGTTAATAGAGTTAAATCTGATATCCACCCGTTAATAATTGCATTGTGAAAACTCTTCCCTTAAGGCTCTTCCAATTCCACCATATGGGGTCAAATTAAGAAAGCTTATGCAATTTAGTAAAACCTTCGTAACTCAATCCATTGACTTCGGTTGTCTCCGCATGACAACTATGTGTCGTGCTTATTGCCAGTCGTTTTGAGCGACCAACAGTCTCCAATACAAGTGCATGGCGCATGATTCATATTTAACTGGAAACAATTCAAGCATTCACCAGAAACGATCATTTCGTGCAAACGAGTGGTAGTTTACAAATCTATACAACGATAAATAGCAAATATCACCAAATTTAGTTTGTTGACAGTGTTCCTACAACCACTGGGTCTATACGGATAAAACTGAGCGTGCTATAATAAAGGCGGATGAGCTGTGGGACAAATACAGGCGGAAAACCAGAAGTTGCTTCACAATTGACATTGCTCTGCATAAATGGCCGTAATTTATCAATACACTGCCTACTTCGTTTATGGAATTCCTCCTCAGGATAACAAATCTGATGATAACATAGATGATGAATGATTTTCTGACGTATTTATCAGTTTCTGTTCAAACATGAAAGTGTGTAGTTTTTTAGACTATTAAGAATCAAAATTACAAATGTTCACTTGATTCAAAGATTATCCCTGGGTGTTTGATAAACAGCGCATTCTATCAACAACGGGATCGTTTTTGATACACGGTGATGAGCGCTACATATGTTTTACAGGTGCCTTCAAGGTCAGTTCGCTACCAGCATAACCACCGTGACAGCTAAATCCAAAAAATAAATTGACGAAACTTACAAGCTCAAATTTCAAACGATATCTAACCAAATGACCTGATTGCATTTGATGATAATATTTCCATGAAAGGGCAAAAGTTCTACTTGCCCTTCCTCGAATTTCGTGTGGCAAAATCCCGTGACAACCGGTACCTTACTTTGGCATTTAATATTTGCAGCTGTCAACAGCACTTCAAAGAATAGTTTGACCCCATTTTTATATCAGTATTAATTTACGTGCATTATACGCCATCATTGATTAGATCGGGTGAATCTGCTGGAAAACAGACGACCAACTATTCTCAAACAACCAACTAATTTTGAGTGGTTTCATCAGTAGACATTTTCCACTGGGCACCATTTCGAAGTATGATCAATTCGATGACGTCACATTTTTTGACTGATTCACGAATAGCATAAAAAAAACACTAAATAAAGATATAAATTGTTTTCTACATTTAGAGCACTACTACTCGTGAGTAGTCAGTCACGAAGATGGACAATACTCGCTTTTCGACTTGAGGATTTTATTGGGAAGATTATTTGACGCTAAATTTTATTTTGAATAAAAATCCAAAAAGTGCATTGAGTTATTCTAGAAAAAATGAGAATTTAAGGGCCTTCATGTATGGATCAATGGGGCTCCCTTTCCCGGAGAACGTACGTAAAGTACAACACAACCGAAATCAATCTGAGAATCAGTTGTAGCGAATAAATTAGCATGGGAGAGCATAATTTGTCGGGGTACAGTTTTATGTCAACTTTTTGTGAACCGATCAGAATTGTGATTATGCTGTACAAGCTATACGCTATGGAATGATTTCCAAGGCACTAGGGAGAAAAATCAGCAGATGAGTCATTTTCTTCCAGCCATCCCAACTCTAGAAATTTTTCATTATTTAGATACATTATCACGACATTAAAGCACATAAGAAGTTACCTTACTCATTAACCTTTAAACTAAGTAGAATTAATGCCACGACTTCATCCTTTTTATAAAGGAACAAATTGCGTCATATAATGATTAGTTTTTGTGGTTGGCAACTTAATCAAGTGTATTGTTCCATATTTCTATGAAGGTTTTTTATCGTGTACTCTCAATGTTGTGTCAAGTCGCTGTTCTGTGACCACCATGTAGTGCTTTCTTCCAATCGGTGAATGAATGAGATGATGCAGGGAAACACGCAAGCTGCGAACAATTTGTGGTCAGCATAGCTTTCTTCACTTTTATCAGAGTATACTAATTTACAAACGGTTTTCATCACAACGGTTCAGGAAAAGTTCACGTCGAATTAGGCCGAGGTTAATTCGTTTCCTAACATCATGCCCAAATGCAATGCTGGTTTTTCCCGAATCAGCGGTTAAACCATAGTTACGAAGTTGTCAAATGGAACCTCAAAATATAATTTGAATACACAAGGGGTTCGTGGTGAAGTGTAGGACAGACTGACCTCACTATGTGTAAATGGTTAGCAACAAACCGAATAGTTTTCAACTGCATGTCTTTGGGCAGGGTATCCCACGTGGATTAGAAATATCTTGGGTGTACTTGGTCCGATTACCGGCACAGTTT